CTTAGCAAATTTCAATTATGCAATACAGTGTTGTCAGCTGTGGTCCCATGTTTCCATTAGAGCCTCAGAACCTACCCCGTACAGCTGAAGTCTGTACCTTTTTGCCAGCATCCCCCCCCCCCCCCCCCGCCATAGAGTTTGCTGATGGACTGTGTCAGGAGTTAAATTCACACAGAGGCTCACCGTGAGCAGGGCAACAGTGCAGTGGAACTCGGGGTTTAGGGGGTGGTGAGGAAACGTGGGGGGCTGGGGGGGAGGCTGGGAATGAGTGTGGAAGAAGGCTGGGGTCCACTGTTCCTGATATGCCCTCTGGGTCTTACTTAAGAAATGAGGTCAGGCCCTGGCCAGTTTGGCTCAGCGGTTAGAGTGTCGGCCTGCGGTCCGGAGAGACCCGGGTTCGGTTCCCGCTAAGGGCATGTACCTCGGTTGCAGTTTGCCCCCGGCCCTGGTCGGTTGTGCGGGTGGCAGCAACTCGATGTGTTCCTTTCACATCGATGTTTCTCTCTCTCTCTCTGTTCCTCTCTCTCCCTCCCACTCTACCTGAACAAAAAATTGGAAAAATGTCCTCAGGTGAGGATAAAAAAAAAAAAAAAGAAGTGAGGTCAGGTCAGAAGGCTCAGAGGTGCCCCGAATCGGGGAGTTTCGGCCCAGTCTCCAGTCTGCCCGGCGGGAACAGCCGCGATAATGATGGGAGGGGCCGTTTGTCTCTGCTCTGCTCTGAACTGGATGGGAAGATCCACAGGCCAGCGGGTGTAGATGTTCTGCAGCCACAGCTACGTTAGGTTGGGAAGAGCTCCTGGGATTCAGACCCCTGACTCCTGACCTTGGGAAGCAAGCCTTGCGGATAAGTCCACCATCCTGGAGGAGGATTCCTGGTCTGGGATGGGGACACAGGGGACCTGCTCCCCCCTGAATTCCTCTAGCCACTCCCCCTGCCTTCTTCGTCTTTACACCTCTGGAACAAATGATCTCAAAGATTAGGGTGGGTCTCCTGGAAGGAAGCCCCCAGGTTTCCTTTTTCCGTCCAGCTTCTCAGTTGTGGGAGCCACAGGTGGAGGAGGTAGTTCTTTCAGAGGGCCCAGGAGAGAAGCAGCAGGCTGGGAGCTGAGGTGTTAGTGGGCAGGATGCCAGGGCCCACAGATCCTGAGTCCTGATGAGGCTGGAACCATTAGCCTCAGTGGGAGATCCCAGAGCTCTTGGCATCGGTAGGGAGAAGAGGGGCAGAGAACCATTTTTGTCTTCATAATAGGGAGAGAGACTCAGGCCTTCTCCTGGTTGTCTCTTTCTGACTGTCTAGGTGACACCAGGCGAGTCTTTCAAACTTTCTGAGTTTCAGTTTCCGTCACTTCCGATTTGGGGTCAGGGAGCACAGGGAGGAGCACAGTGTTATGTGTGTCGACCCCCCACGAGTTAGAGACGTTTTAATGAAGTGAGTCGTAGTTTGCCCCGGACCGAGGAAAGGGGATCAGGGGGAGAATCAGCTCTGTAAGGCTGACACCTCCTACCTACTGAGGCAGGAGTGCTGGGGGGCGCCGACGTGTGAGAGACGACCGTGTTCTCAAGGGGCTCGCAGTCCAGTCGGGGAACAGGTGAGTGAGGTACAGTCACTTTTTCGGGACCAGACGCTGTCATGTGCCGAGTTGCCTGTTGGAGGCCCTGGAGGCTGGTGGGAGCTGGAGGGGCGCAGAGCTCGCGGGGGGCTGTGAAGGCTCCTTAAGGCCTTTGGGAGCAGCAGGCGGGGGTCTCGAGGACGTAGCCCTGCCGGGCAGGGGACAGGACTTCAGGGTCCTGCTTTCGCCAGTTTCTTCGGGCAAGTTATTTGCCATCCTTGAGCCTCGGTTTCTCCGTGAATAACCTGGGGACCCTGATTCCCTTCCTGTCCTGAAAGGGGTTTTGAGGAACTTATTAGTAGAAAGATCAGAATAAACGCCGATACTTTCGCGAATCTCCTGAAATTCCTGAGTGACTTAGCATCTGTGCCCCTGGGGTGGAGCTGAGTGTGGTTTGGGCCTGGCGTTTGCATCGGGTGGGCCATCTGGTGGGCTTTTGGGTGGGGTGGAGGGCAGAGCAAGAGGCCTCTGGCCAGGCCCTGGGAGCCAAGTCAGGGATTATTTTTATTCCTCTGGTCATGGCACATGGCCCGGGCTTAACGATGCCATCTGTTCCCCCTCCAGCCCCCTCCAGCTTTCATTCTGGCAGGCCCAAGGGTCACTGTGGAGCACTGGGAAGGAGGAGAGGAGTGGGGATCGTTTTCTGGATGGGTATTGGCTTACCCCCCATTCTCCTACCGAGGGGTAGAGCTGTGTGGGAGGTTTGCCTAGTGAGGAGACTGTTTGCCAGGCTGGGCTGTGGGCGATGCGGGTGGGAGAGGCTAGACCAGGAGACAGGAGCAGGCCACACAGGGCTGGGAGCAACTCCATTTCGGTAACGAATCCCGTGGCCCAGGGCCTTGGGTGACCCGCTGCCCTGCTTTCGCTGGGACAGACCCAATCTTGGGGACACAGAGTTCAGGTCCTCAGAAAACCTCCCTCATGGGGCAGCGTTTGGCACAGGTCTGGTTCTCCCCAGGTCTGGTGTTCTGCTGGGCTGCCCTGGGCCCAACTTCTGTAGGGACCCAGGGTGTCATTCCACCTGCTGGTCTAGCACAGCTTGGGTGAAGGACAGGCCTGGAGACCACAGCCCCTGGCTCCTCGGGGGCTCACGCAAGCTCTCCTAACTTCTGGCCTCCACCTGGCCTGGACTGTCCATCTGTGTTCAGCGTCAGGTCCCAGCAGAAAATCTAGGCCAAAGCCAGGACCTGCGAAGCCTTAGATGTTAATAGTAATTCATCAGAATTAATTAATATTAGATATTAGGGCTTAAAGTATATGTACCTATCAGGTCCACTTGGGGCTTTAGATTTCCCAGTTGAGGCATTTATTTATAGCTTGGTAATAATGATTGTGAGGGTTGGGATGGTACAATGGACAGCAGGAACTGAGCACTGACTGTCAGGCTCCATACAGGTTCACATGTCATCGTCTTGACCATCTTATGGGATACCTCTCCGTGGCAGGTCAGTTCCCCAGCCTCCTCTGAGCAAAGCCACAGGTGAAAGTCTGCAGGATATGTTGAGCAGCAGGTGGGCGAGCTCCCCAAGGACATGAAGGGTCCGGACAAGTAGTGTGAGCCACAGACACTGCTAGGACAGGGGACCTTTGAGCTCAGTGGGAGCAACCCCTCGTTTCGGTTTTATAGGTAAGCAGACTGAGGCCCAGAGAAATAGGGGGTGGACCATGGTCACACAGTTGCTTCTGGAACTGCAACCAAAACTAGTCTCTTGATTCCCAGACATCACACTTCCTTTTTACAAGCCTGCATAGTAAATCCCCCAGGGATTTACAGCAACTCCAGCTCTCCCGCTGGTATGCCCAAGTCCAGACATTTACGGAGATTTTCTTCTGTTTCCTGACACTAAACACAGAACAAACCATTCGTCCTCCCTACAGAGAAATCGTTATTTCACAAAGAGCACTTACCAGATATCCGTTCATTCTTTGGTTCCCCAGCATGGTGCAGTGTGCTTGGACTTCCTGCCCCTGTGGTGCCTGAAGTGTGGTGGAGGAGACCAGTCTTCCCTGGGTGACAGCTAGGCTGTGAGAACCACAGGGCTCCTTTGGAGCACATGGGAAGGGGCCCAATCCAGACTTGAGGTTGGGGTCTTCCTCCTAGAGGAGGTGACCTTTTGGCTGGGCCTTAATCGGGTGAAAGGGGGGAAAGTTCCAGGTGTGGAGAAAGAACTTAGCGTGTGGAGGGTGTCATTAGACAACTGAGTTTGGGGGTTTGAGCTGGGTGTGTATTGCATGGCCAAACTCCGTTGTCATCCTGTTGTTATAGTTTTATGCAGTTAATATTGTTTAGGTTCACTCTTATTTCTACCAGTGACTTTGCTCACCACTCTTCCTTGTGCATAATGCCTTCTTTTCATATAAGTTCCTTTTTGTTGGTTTAAATACCTCCTTTACTGTGCGTGTGCGTGTGCGTGTGTGTGTGTGTGTGTGTATGTCCACTGAGGGTCTGTTAATACTAAATTCTCTCCATCTTTATCTGAAAATACCTTTGTTTAATGTTCACATTTGAGCAATATTTTGGTTGGGTTTTAAATTCTAGGTTGACATATGATGTCACTCATATGTGGGATGTGAAGTGGAAAGCAACAACAGACGAACAAACAAAACAAAACAAAAGAGCTATTGACACAGACCGCAGTCTGGTGGTTACCAGAGGGGAAGGGGGCGGGAGAGGTTGAAGAGAGTAAAGAAGGTCAAGTATACGGTGATGGAAGGAGACCTAACTTTGGGTGGTGGGCGCACAACGCAATATGCAGATGATGTATTATAGAATCATACACTCAAAACTTACATAATCTTATTAATGTCACCCCAGTAACTTTATTTATTTTTAATATGTTTTTATTGATTTTTTTAGAGAGAGAGGAAGGGAGAGAGAAATAGATAGAATCATCCATGTGAGAGAGAAACATCAATTGGCTGCCTCCTGCACACCCCCCATTGGGGATTGAGCCCAAAACCCAGGCATGTGCCCTGACAGGGAATCCAACTGGGACATCTCAGTCAATGGGGTGATGCTCAATCCACTGAGCCACAACGGCTGGGCACCCCAATAAATTTAATAAAAAGAAAAATTCTAGGTTGACAGTTCTTTTTCTCTCAGTAATTTGGAGGTGTATTTTGGGTCCTCTAGTGTACCCTTGAGAAATTCATGATCAATGTACACAATCAGTATAATAGTCCTTTCTTTGTAGACACTCTGTCCTTTTTCACTCTGGATGCTTTTAAGATCTATTCTTTGTTTTTGTTTTTCTAAAGTGTACCTGTAATACGAATTTATTAATTTATTTTATTTGAATTTATTCTGGTTAGGTTTCAGGATGGTTCCTGAGTTGGAGAATTCATGTATTTAATTAATTCTGGAAAACGTCCAGTCATTATTATTTCAAATGTTGTTTTCATTTTCGATATACTCTCTTTCTGGAATGCTACTTGGAGGTATGTTGAACTGTATTTTCTATTCTCCTTGCTTTTTATCATCATTTAAAAAAATATACTTCTGACTAATGTCCTCAGATCTATCTTCCAGGTTGTTAATTTTTTCTCTACCTGTATCTAATTTGCTGTTCATCTCAATCATTGAATTTTTAATTTCGGTGACTAAAATATTTATTTCTAAATGTTTTGTTTTGTTCTTTTTCTAGTCTGCTTTGTATTTTTTTTTTTTAATCCTCACCCGAGGACATTTTTTCATTTTTTGTTCAGACAAAGCAAGAGGGAGAGAGAGGAAGAGAGAGAGAGAGAGAGAGAAACATCGACGTGAAAGGGACACATTGAGTGGCTGCCACCTGCACGACCCAACCAGGGCCGGGGCCGGGGACAAACTGCAGCCGAGTTACATGCCCTTAGCAGGAACCGAACCCGGGTCTCTCTGGACCGCAGGTCGACACTCTAACCACTGCGCAAAACCGGCCAGGGCCTGCTTTGTATTTTTTGATAGTGTCTAATTTTTTCTTGTGTTTCCAATTTTTTAAGTCAATAATTATTTTAAACACAATTTATATAATAATATTTAATATGATATTCAGTTATCTGTAATTCTTGGGGATCTAATCCTATGGAATCTTGATTCTGGTAGATTATTTCTTCTTCTTTTTTTTTAATCCTCACCCAAAGACATTTTTCCGTATTTTGTTCAGATAGAGTGGGAGGGAGAGAGAGAGAGAAACATCGACATGAAAGGGACACATTGAGTGGTTGCTACCTGCACGACCCAACCAGGGCCGGGGACAAACTACAACTGAGGTACGTGCCCTTAGCGGGAACCGAACCCAGGTCTCTCTGGACCGCAGGCCAATGCTCTAACCAGCCAGGGCTATTTCTTCTTATATGTTGTAGTCATGGATTTTGAGAGCCTTGATAGCAAAGCATTACCTCTGGGAATTCTATGCAGTCTGGGTTAAAATGGTCTTTTCAGAGGTTTTTCAGCCTGAGACCACTATTTATTTTTGTGAATTGGCTGGGAGTTCCTGAGTAATATAAAATTTAAATCTCAAATCCACTTAAGGGCAGGCCCTTTGTTAAAAATTTTTAGGAAAGACAATTTTTTTTAAAATCTAGAGTTTAGGCCAAGATAGACAGTCTTCCCTGTCACATTTCGTCGGGATTCTACCTTCTCTCTGAGGACTGAGGTATAGCTCCCAGTTCCAGCCTCCTTGTATCTCAGGTCCCAGGTCTCATCTCTGAGTAGCCATTGCAACTCAGTGGTTTTATTTCTAAGATTAACATCATGCCCTGCCTCTCAGAGCTACTAGAGTAGTAACAGCTCATTTGCTTAATACTGTAGCTTAGAGTTCTTTCATTTGGGGCTTCTAGGGGTTTACTTCCTTCTAAAGTTAGCTATGCATTTAAAAGTGTATTTGTTATATTTGTCATTTCTAAATTTCTTCTCTTTTAAGAACTTTGTTTTGGAAGGTATGGAAAAATAGTTCAACATTCACTATAGAATTGAGACCAGAATTTCTGGTGAAGAATAAGCTAGTTTTTTCTAGATCATGTGATTCTCCCCCCCCCCATGATACACTTTTGAGGAAAAGTTTTGTTGTTGTTGTTAATCCTCACCCGAGGACATTTTTCATTGATTTTCAGATAGAGTGGAAGGGAGAGAGAGAGAGAGAAACATTAATATGAGAGAGACACATCGATTGGTTGCTTCCTGCATGACCCGCACCAGGGCCAGGGATCAAACCTGCAACCCAGGCGTGTGTCCTTGACCGGGAATTGAACCCGTGATCCTTCGGTCTGCAGGCTGATGCTTTAACCACTTGAGCGAGACTGACCAGGGCAGGAAAACTTATTTTAACAGCCACAGAGAGAAAGCCAACTTTTGTTATTGTAAAAGGCCTGGGACACTGGAGGACAGAGATCAACACCCAGCTGCTCTGTTGACTTGCTGTATGACCGTGGGCAAGTCCTTAGGCCTTTCTAGGCCTTAGTGTCCTCATCTGTAAGCTGAGTGGATTGGGTTAGGTTTTCCCTAGGGTTCCTGTTTTAAATTGCAATGATTTCACCTCTTTCTGACTGTAGGCCTGTGCCAGCAGCCTAACTAAGCTCCTTGGAACCTCCCCTCTCTCCCAGGATGTGCCCCCAACACACACATGTTCTGCTCCTTCCCTTCCCTGGATGGTGACCACACTGACCCTCATACCCACCTCTGTGAAGAATGTGTTCCTCCAACATGCCTGGGTTGGGAGCGAGGGGCTTCAGGCATGGGGAATGCTCTGGGAAGTTCTTACCTGAGAGGGTCCTGGATGGAAGTGAGTTGGATTTTAGGTGTGTAGACTCCTACCCCTGGGTTTGGGCTGCTGGGCAACACTCTCCTGTTGGCTGACGGGAGAAGAAAAGGGGTGATATGTGTGATGGGGAGAGACCCCCCCTTTATAGATGTGCTCAGTGGCTGGGGGTTCAAGGAGGGCCGTGGTAGGAAAATGGTACCCACCTGGTACTCATAATCCAAAAACTGCCTTAAGATTACTGGTATGTCTTGTCCCTTCCCAAACCCCTGAGAACTGTGTCCAGAAATTTACAGCCGGGACAGTTGGTGCTGAGGTTACTGGATTGTCATGCTGGTGGCAGGGCAGGGTTGTGTTGTCAGCTTCTGGAGGCACCAGCAAGTCTGCGTGCCAGAGCCCCAACACGCGAGAACCCACCAGGGCCAAAAGCTTCTTTTAAAAACAGCCCATGCAGGGCATGGCATAGCGAATGGTGAGCTGCATTTTACTTTGCATACCTTTTTTTTTTTTTAATTTAAATTTTTAATTGTGGTTAAAAAAACATAAAATTTATCATCTTAACCATTTTTAAATGTATAGCTCAGCTTGGCCGGTGTGGCTCAGTGGTTGAGCACTGACCCATGCACCAAGAGGTCGCCAGTTCGATTCCCGGTCAGGGCACATGCCCAGGTTGTGGGCCCAATCCCCAGTGGGGGCCATGCAGGAGGCGGCCAGTTGATGTTCTCTCTCATTGATGTTTTTATCTCTCTCCCTCTCCCTTCCTCTCTTTCTAAAATCAATAAAGAAAAAAAAGTTTTTTTAAATGTGTAGCTCAGTGGTGTTAAACGTATATTCACATTGCTGTGCAACAGATCTCCGGAACCTTCTCATCTTGTAAACTGAGACTCATACCCAATAACACCAAGTCCCCATTTCCTCCTCCCCCAGCCTCCAGCAACCACCATGCTCCTTTCTGTCTCTGGATTTGACTGCTGCAGGTGCCCCATATAAGTGGAATTGTATTTGTCTTTTTGTGGCTGACATTTCACTGAGCATACTGTTGTCAAGGTTCATCCATGTTGTGGCATATGACAGAATTTTCTTCCTTTTGAAGGCTGAATACTGTTCCATTGTTTGTGTAGACCACATTTTGTCCATCCGTTCATTCGTCTGTAGACACTTGGGTGTTGGGATAATGCTGCTGTGAACATGGAGTACAAATATCTCTTCAGGACCCTACTTTCAATTCTTTCGGACATAGACCCAGAAGTGGCATTGCTGGATCACGTGATGGTTCTGTTTTTAATTTTTTGAGGACCCTTCATGATGTTTCCCACAGCGGCTGTCCCATATTGTATTCTCACCAACAACACACAGTGTTTTGCATCCTTTGTGTCCATTATTGGTTTAATGCCAGACCACCCTTTTCTCCTGCTTCCCAGCCCTGTCTGGGTTCTTAGAGCCACGACCAGAGAGTGCCCTGGTCGTTGTGCTCACCTGATAGGCAGGAAGCTGGGGTCTGCAGAGGGGAGATGACCTGCCCTGGATCCCAGGCCTTCTGATCCACCTGGACCTTTCACGCCACTGAGCCCCCGGCATCCCTGGCCTTTCGGCCAGGAAGAGCAGCTGGCGTGGGGCTTGGCAGTCCCTGGGTACCCGTCGTCCCACGGTCCACATAGTTCTTCCACCAATGCTGTGGTTTCTGCCCAAACAGGTCCCACAGGCGCTCCTCCAAGCGGAGCCTTGGAGGGCAAGGCCGGCACCATTACCTCCAACGAGTGGAGCTCTCCTAACTCCCCGGAGGGGAGCACCGTCTCGGGGGGCAGTCAGGCCTTGGACAAGCCCATCGACAATGACGCGGAGGGCGTGTGGAGCCCGGACATTGAGCAGAGCTTCCAGGAGGCCCTGGCCATCTACCCACCCTGCGGCCGGCGCAAGATCATCCTGTCGGATGAGGGCAAGATGTACGGTAAGGACCTGTCGGGGTGGGGCTGCAGGCCCCTGGCCTCCTGGTCCAGCTCTGGAAATAGAACCTAGCAAGGGGCGAGGCGCAGCAGCCTTGGGGTTCCCTCCAAGTGATGGAGGGGGAATGATCTCCTGGGGCTTCTATCAGGTGGGCACTGCTTTCTTCTGAGCTGGGTTCCCAAGGGGTGGGAGGGCCTCTGAGGGAAGCCTTTGAGTGCGAGGGGCTGGGGTAGTGGGAGACTTGGGAGAGGAGTAAAATACTGGAAAATCCGATGAGCCAACCCCCAGCAAATGCCTGGTCTCCCGGCTCCCACCTCGGCGGTGAAGGGTGGTCAGGAAGGTGGTTCTGATGCATTGCTTCCTTCATGAGCCTTCTGTGCTCCAGGCACAGTGGGCAGATCCAGTTCCTGTGCACAGGGTGGTGGGGAGGGTGGGCACACACAGAGCTGACCATAGGCAGACTGGGTGGTTCAGGAGGGAGTCAGGCAGGGAGCTGCAGACCTTCCCCTGGAAGGGTCCCTCCAGCTGGGAGGATGTGGAAAGGCCCCATCTTCCTGAGTGGCTGAGGATGCAGAACGTACAGATACAGAAACTCTCTATGTCCGGCAGCCATGTGGGAAGGACCCGGTGGTCGGCTTGGGGCTGTGTTGACTCTTGGATGGAAGAAAGGGTATTTGGAAAAGTAAAACAAAAACTGAACCGCTCTTGGAAGGCCCGGGCCAGGCTTCTTTTCCCACTGGGAAATCCCCCGCTGCCCCCAGCTGAAACACTGGTGTTGGGCAGGAGCGGAGAGGGTCTCAGTAACTGGTGGAAGCCCCCAAGCACAGGGCTCCACCCTGGCTCCCAACGGCTCTGTGCAGGGCCCACCCTCGGGGGCTTCCCTTCGGGACCTCCCTCCCCGGCACAGACCCGCCCGCAGCTGTGTAAAGAGCTGCTTGAGGCGCTTGTGGGGGCTGAGCGTGTCTCTCCTAGGGGTGCTGTAAGAAATGACCACACGTGGGGTGGCTTAAAGCAACAAGGATTTATTCTGTCACGGTTCAGGAGGCCAGAAGCCTGACACCCGGTGTCCCGGCGGGCTCCTTAAGCGGGTCTGAGGGAGACCATGTGTCGTGCCTGTCCTGGCTGCCAGCGCTTGGGCCCACCTTGCTGTTCCTTGGCTTGTCGCTGCACCACTCCCGACTCTGACTTGGTTGTCACACGGCCGTGCTCCTTCTGTGTGTCTCTGTATCTTCTCATATTCTTGTAAGGACACCAGCCATGGGACCAGGGCCCACCCTGCTCCAGCGTGACCTCATCTTAACTAGTTACACCTGTAAAGACGCTATGTCCTAATAAGGTCACATTCTGAGGTTCTAGGTGGACAAGAATTTGGGGGGGCACTACTCAACTTTAAACTCAAATCCGGTTTGTCACTGCCCAGGGAGTCCTGGGGCGCTCACGGCCCTTTCCGCTTTGTGCTTTAACCTGCATCTTCCCTGCGAGGCCCAGGCGAGACCTCCTCTGCCCTCGGCGTGTTGGGGAAGCTCCTGTCTGCTCCTCAGTCACGTAAAACCGCTCGTCCCCCTCCCCCCGTACCAGCTCGGTTCCCACAGTCTCTCTGACTCTCTGACTTTTGTGGCTGCCCCGCAGGTCAGCCCCCTGTCCCGCCCCCACTCACTATTTCCTTTCCTGTTGGTTGCTTCTTACTTTCGGCCCCTGTGGAAGCTTCGTGGAGGAGACAGCTGATAGGTATGGGGCGCCTGTGGGTGCCGGGTACGGGATTGGGTGTTTTACGTGGGTCACTCCATGGAGCTGGTGAGGAACAGAGGCTCTGGGACCCCAGAGCCCCTGCTTCGGCGGAGAGTGGGATGGTATTGACCGTGAGCTGAGGCGAGAAGGGCAGGCGGAGTGCAGGGAGGGCAAGGAGTTTAGCGGGAGGGCTGTCCTGGTCCCTGGCGGGGAAGCTGTGGCATGTGCCCAGAACCTTTGCAGGTTTCGTCTTTGTGCTTTAAAGGGACACATCGTCTGGCAGACAAGTGTGCAAGAAGCATTCACAAGGGAGAGCAGGGTTGCTGCAGGAGTCTGGGAAGGCCCACAGAGAGGGCAGAGCGGCAGAATCGCAGGCCTGTATTTGACTGCCACAGTGCACCAGACTCGGTGCTGAGCTACTTCTTGTGTGTGCGGCAACATACACGTAATATTTATCCTTTTTTCTCTATTGATTTTTTTTTTTTTTTTTTATCCTCACCTGAGGACATTTTTCCATTTTTTGTTCAGGTAGAGTATGAGGGGGAGAGATGAAGAGAGAGAGAAACATCGATGTGAAAGGGACACATCGAGTGGCTGCCACCCGCACGACCAACCAGGGCCGGGGACAAACCGCAACCGAGGTACGTGCCCTTAGCGGGAACCGAACCCGGGTCTCTCGGGACCGCAGGCCGACGCTCTAACCGCTGAGCCAAACCGGCCAGGGCTCTCTATTGATTTTTACATAGAGTGGAAGCGGGGAGGGGAGAGAGAGAGAGAGAAACATCAATGCGAGAGCCACGTCTATTGGCTGCCTCCCGCACAACCCCAAACGGGGCCAGGATTGAACCTGCAACCCAGGTGCACACCCTTAACTGGGAATCGAACTCACGACCCTTTGGTCCCCGGGCCGATGCTCTAACCGCTGAGCCAAACTAGCCAGCGCCATCATATTTATCTTTCTAACCGTTAGTGTGCAGTTCAGAGGCATGAAGTACATTTACACTGTTGTGAAACCATCACCACCATTCACGTCTTGAATTTTTTTATCATCCCTAACTGAACTGTGTACCCATTAAATATGAAGTCCCCATTCACCCCTTCCCGCAGCCCCTGGCACCCACCCCTCTGCTTCCTGTCTATAGATATGACTGCTCTCGGCACCTCGTATCGGAGGGGTCGTGCAGGGTTGTCTTTTGTGACTGGCTTGTTTCACTTAGCACAGTGCCCTCATGGTTCATCCATGTTTAGCACGTGTCAGAACTTCCATTGTACGGATAGACCGCATTTTGTCCGTCCATTCATCTGTGGGTGGACGTCTGGGTGGATGTTAATTTTATTTAGTTAGGGTAGATGTTTCCATCCTCACTTTCACCTGTAAAGGAGTTGGGTTAGGAGACTTTATCTTCAGTCCCAGATGAGTGCTGCTGAGCCAGGGTTTGGTAAACCCAAGGCTGTGGACTTCCGACAGGCCTTGGGTCGGAATTGGCGGGCAGGAAGAGAGCTGTTGGGGGCGGGGTGGGGCGGGCAGAGCAGGAGTGAAACGTGTTCGGCAAACTGTCCTGGCCATGTTGGTGTCCTCTATGCAGAAAGACAGGAGGGGCTCAGTGGGGGGCGGCACAGAGGAGGACCCTGGAGGAGATGGGCTGAGGCCAGGGGCCTCTTGATTATGCTAAGACAGGAGCTCCTCATGGCTTCTGGCATCCGTTTTCAAAGGAGGGAGGAAGTTTAACCTGTGCTTGCAAATGCAGACAAGCTCAGAGAGGCCAAGGGTCCCCCAGAGCCTCTCAGGTGGTAAGCGGGAGAGCGGGGCTAGAACCCATTCTCCTGCCTCCTCGAGCGGTGCTTCCCACCTGCTCGTGTGTTCTCCCTGCCTTGCCCTCTGCTCAGCCCCAACCCCAGGTGGGTGAGGCTCCGCGCAGGGCCTGGAGGCTGCTGGGCAGTGTTTGCCGGCTCCCCAGCCCCCAAAGCACCTGTCCTACGTGAGCAGAGATCCTGCTGGGTCCAGACGCTGGCTTATCCTCGTCTCTTCTTACCAGGCATGGGGCCCGGGCCAAGGCAGGACTGCGCAGGGAGTTGATGGAGGGGCTCTCAGCAGGGGCTCTGGTCCAGCTGGGAGATATATATAGCTCTGAGCTCAGCCCCAGTGTGTGGGACGGACCCCAGGGAGGTGGAGGGAAAGGGCCTCGCTGCCAAGCTGACTCAGACATCAGCTCACTGAGGCTGTTCTCTGTCCTCTCATCTTCCTTCGGGGACCCACTCTTGCCACCTTCCTGTGCCTGAGCCCCCGAGAGCCTGGCCTCTGCATCCCCCCACTTCTCACATCCAGAGGCCGTCCGTTGTTTCCTAGGTGGGCCAGCCCGGGGGGTGGGGGGGGGCACAGGGAGGGAGCTGAGAACAGAGCAGGCGGGGAGCAGCCTCAGGCAGGAGGAACAGGCTGACTCCGGGGCGCCCAGAGGAGGGTTTGAGACCTGCAGACCGAGCACAGGAGTAGACTGGTCCGCCACACCCAGAGCAACCCCTGTCCGTGGCCAGGCAGACATGCAGATGACGCAGAGCCGCAGGACAGATCAGCGCCTGTTACTTCTGAGCCCAGCCTCCCACGCTTGTGGACGGCTCCCAGGCCAGGGCTGCTCGTCCCCTCCTGCTCACGTCTGCCTTCATTTTTGCCCTGTCACTGCGTGACCCTTGCCCTGGCACTGACACGCTGGTCATTCTGACCTCCTTCAGCCAGGCCTTGGCCTGGGGCCCCGTGGCCAGGTGTGGGGAGGTGAGCGTGGGGCCACTTCTCTCCTCCGTCTGCCCTGAACGCTGCCTTTCCCTCTTGACAGGTCCCCTGGCCCTGCTGTCATGCTCTCCCCCTCCTGCTCGCAAGAGGCTGTGGCTGGCTCCGTCTTCCGTGCGTGTGCCTTTCTGCCCCCCGTGCCTCTCGCCCTCCTGGAGGCTGCTCTTAACTCCCGTCTTTCTGCCTCTCTGTGTATGTCTCCCTGCTCCCCTCCTTGCTGTCTCCTTGTCTCCCTGGGTGCCCGTGGCCTAGACTGCCCATGCCTGTAGCAGTCAGCCGGTCCTTAGGAAGTGCCCACCACTCTGAACCAGGCTGGGGCGGGGGCTGAGGTCTGTTCTCTACGACTTCTTGGTCCAAAGGGAGAGGCAGGAGAAACATCTTCGGAAAGTAAATGAATGACACTTACGTTGCATACAGCCAGCAAACCAAGAGGCTGGGTTATCTTGGACGTTTTCTGGAAGGAAGTGGAGCTTGAGCTGGTCGAGGAGGCAGGT